TCTGTAGGACACGGGAGAGTCTTTTTGGGGAGAAATCTTTGGAATTTAATATTCTGTAGAACACGGGAGAGTCTTTTTGGGGAAAAATCTTCGGAATTTAATATTCTGTAGAACACAGGAGAATCTTTTTGGGGAAAAATCTTTGACTTTTAGTCATCTGTGGGACACGTGAGAGCATTTTTGGGGCAAATCTTTGGGCTTTTAGTCATCTATAGGACACCGGAGAGTCTTTTTGGGGAGAAATCTTCGACTTTTAGTCATCTGTAGGACACGGGAGAGTCTTTTTGGGGAGAAATCTTTGGAATTTAATATTCTGTAGAACACGGGAGAGTCTTTTTGGGGAAAAATCTTCGGAATTTAATATTCTGTAGAACACAGGAGAATCTTTTTGGGGAAAAATCTTTGACTTTTAGTCATCTGTGGGACACGGGAGAGTCTTTTTGGGGAGAAATCTTTGGGATTTAATAGTCCGTAGGACACGGGAGAGTCTTTTTGGGGGAAATCTTTGGGCTTTTAGTCATCTGTGGGACACGGGAGAGTCTTTGGGGGAGAAATCTTTGGAATTTAATATTCTGTAGGACACGGGAGAGTCTTTTTGGGGAGAAATCTTTGACTTTTAGTCATCTGTGGGACACGTGAGAGCATTTTTGGGGCAAATCTTTGGGCTTTTAGTCATCTATAGGACACCGGAGAGTCTTTTTGGGGAGAAATCTTCGACTTTTAGTCATCTGTAGGACACGGGAGAGTCTTTTTGGGGAGAAATCTTTGGAATTTAATATTCTGTAGAACACGGGAGAGTCTTTTTGGGGAAAAATCTTCGGAATTTAATATTCTGTAGAACACAGGAGAATCTTTTTGGGGAAAAATCTTTGACTTTTAGTCATCTGTGGGACACGGGAGAGTCTTTTTGGGGAGAAATCTTTGGGATTTAATAGTCCGTAGGACACGGGAGAGTCTTTTTGGGGCAAATCTTTGGCTTTTTGTCATCTGTGGGACACGGGAGAGTCTTTTTCAGGAAAAATCTTCAACTTTTAGTCATACGTAGGACACCAGAGAGTCTTTTTGGGGAAAAATCTTTGACTTTTAGTCATCTGTAGGACACGGGAGAGTCTTTTGGGGAGAAATCTTTGGAATTTAATATTCTGTAGGACACGGGAGAGTCTTTTTGGGGCAAATCTTTGGCTTTTAGTCATCTGTAGGACACCGGAGAGTCTTTTTGAGGAAAAATCTTCGACTTTTAGTCATCTGTGGGACACAGGAGAGTCTTTTTTGGGGCAAATCTTTGGCTTTTAGTCATCTGTAGGACACCGGAGAGTCTTTTTGGGGAAAAATCTTCGACTTTTAGTCATCTGTGGGACACGGGAGAGTCTTTTTGAGGAAAAATCTTCGACTTTTAGTCATCTGTGGGACACAGGAGAGTCTTTTTTGGGGCAAATCTTTGGCTTTTAGTCATCTGTAGGACACGGGAGAGTCTTTTTGGGGAGAAACCTTTGGCCTTTAGCAGTCTCCGACGCAGCAAAATAACATTTTGGGGGGAAAAGATGGTTCTTTCGGTATTCCGGAGGACATCTCGACATCTTCCTGGTGGCTCCGACAGAGCTTGGAGGACGACAGAGGGTCTCCCGTCCCCTCCTCCCCCCTCCACGTTATCCTTCAGCCGACTTTTGGGTTGAATTATCCAAATTTCCCTCCTCCTTTTTTTTTTTTAATTGTTTTTTTTAATCTCTTTCCTCCTTCGGCTTTAGGACCAACTGCTCTTCTGCGACGACTGCGACCGCGGTTACCACATGTACTGTCTCCCCCCCCCCAGGTCGGAGCCGCCCGAAGGTGAGTCCCGCCCCCTTCCGCTGCCGAAACGCACCAAAACCGCCAAAATTCACCCCAAAAATACGTCTCGGCCCACCGGGGCCCCACTTCTACCTGTGTTTTTTCGGGGGGAGGGGGACGACCCACACACAGACGGGGCAGCGATGGAAAATGATGCGGTTTGTCCTTCGCGCCTTTTTTCCCCTCTTAATTATTCCGCCGGAGAGGTG